GAAATATGTCTGTCAATGAAAAACACTTTTCATTATTAAACCCCTTCCTAATGAATCAGTTGCCCTGTTCTGTTTACTTGCCTTTTTGATTTTCATGAGTTACCTTTCATCCCAGTACACGACTTGCAGGGAGGCTGAGGCCACTCAGAGCCTAAAACCTCAACTAGATAATAATATTAGCAATAACTAACCTTTACAGAGCCCTTTACATTCATCTCATTATAGTCCAGGCGAACCACTGAAGTGAGACAAATATGATTACCATGCCAGGTATAAAGAAACCAAGAAGTAGAGAGGGTGAGCCATTTGCCCCAGGTGGCTCAGCTAGAAAAATGGCAGAGTAGAAGCTTGAACAAAGCCTCTTCAGCCCTTCTCTTTATGGCATGCGCTCTCCTTGATAGAGACATCTGGACCCCTGTTCACTCAATTCTTACTACAGTTCTCAAGGAAATGCAACAACTGTGGGAAGCAGGGACTATGATTTCTGACCCTCCAACATGCCCGAAAGTGCTAAGCATATGGAAGGCATTGTTTGGAGCCCTGGAAATCAACACCATGTCACAAGCTCAACCAATCTCCTCACTAGAAATAACCCATTCCATTCCAGGAGCGCTGCAAAGCTGACACAGCTGTTTTATTGTCAAATCAATGATAAGAATGGAAGCCACGTTGCTGGAACATAGGAAACACCCCAGTGGGTCATGAAACAAGTCAACAAGAGTTTGGAAAGGTCTACAAATGGGAAGTCGATGTTCAAATAAAATGTCTATCCCCTGGGACAGAACCAAGTGGGAAATCAAGCACTTACTGTTCTTAGGGTCAATAAGTAGTTGGAGAGGGCCACTAGCTGTAAGATGGTGGCACAGTGGTAAAACGCATCACTGTGCAAGGCTGACCCACATAAGAAGGTCCCAGGTTTGTATTCAGAGACCTCCCTAAGCATGCCTGGCCCATGTGTGCCCGTGATCCATGGCTGATTGAGGCTGAAGACGGATTGTGGCATCAAAATTCTATTGAGAGTGCTCTTTCTCTCCCTGTGTGTGGTTGTGTGTGTGTGTGTGTGTGTGTGTGTGTGTATCAGAAAAAATAAACTTAAAATACTTGAACTAAGGGACAAGTAGGTGGCATTGAAGTTAAGGCGCTAGACATTCCCACATGGCCAACCACAATTTGGGTCCTGAACCTGGTAGCTTTCTTTCTCGCTTTCTTGCTTTCTTGCTTTCTCGCTTTCTCTTTCTTTCTCTCTCTCTCTCTCTCTCTCTCTCTCTCTCTGTGTGTGTGTGTGTGTGTGTGTGTCTGTTCAATTTAAAAAAAATGAATGAGAGGGAACCAGCAGTTAGCGTAATGGCTATGTCGCTGGACTCCCACGCAGTCGACCGCGGTTCACGTACCGGACCCGGTGGCTTAAAACACACACCGGGCACGTGTGCATGCATGCCCAAGATCCCGAGAGGAGAATAGAGGAGAAGGGATTGTGGCGTGGCCATCCCACCGGGGGGTGATTTCTTGCTTTCTGTCTCTCTGTCTTTCTCTGCCTGTCTGACAAGCACACGCGCCCTATAGCGAAAACTTCTCAAAAAATAAATAAATAAATAAATAAATGAATAAATAAAATTAAATAAATAATTATTTTTAAAAATCTTGAACTCAGCATTGACTCCGTGGCCTGGTAGTTAAGGGAGCCGGATCCCACATGGCCAACCATGAGGTTCTAATCCCAGCCCAAACGGCTTGAAAAATATGCCAGGTACAAGTGTGTGCATGCCCAAAATCCCAACAGGATGGAGAGATGAAGAGACTGTGGTCTCAGAGTAAATGAGGAAAATTAATCTTGCTCAGACAAGGAGTAGAAAGTCTCTATTCAATTCATCCTGGGAAACAGGGACTCGGAGAGAACAGTGGAAAGCAAAGTGGTATGACCATGCCCTGTGGCGGGGTGGGGAGCTGCTTTCTCTGTCTCCTGTTCCCTCTGTCTCTCTCTGGTGAGAGCACATGCCTTCTGTCATATTTAAAAAAAAAAAAAACTTAAACTTACGAAAACAGACTAGCTAGGTCTTTTGAGTTATCATCCACCTGTAGCCCCCATCCATGCCACATAGTTTGGGACTATAGGCCTGGAATCTCTCTCTCTGCCTGGTGCACAAGTGAGAAGGAACACACAGAAAAGGCACTTAGGGCTCTGATTCCATTAATCCCCTAAAGTGCCCACAACCTCCCCCCATTTTTAGAGAGATTATTAGACAAGTTAACATTATTTCTTCTATTCAACCCTCAAGACTGGAAAGGAACCAAACACACCTGCGGAGAGAGTGATGAGGACTTCAGGGAAATCTGGTCAATGATGTGGATAAAAACAAGCAAGGTAGATGATACCATCACATCTCAAGCCTGGAAGGATGCCCAGGGGCTGTGTGGCTGGCCTGAGCAGATCTACAGTCTGCCCTGTCCTGCAGGTAGTGATGCAGTCCAACACAGGGCCCAAATCGTAATCATACTCCTCTTCCTAGAGTTGATGCCCAGAAAATGCCAAAAAAAAATTGAGTAAATAATGGAACCCAACTGATGCCAAGGTCTCAGCATAAATGAAGAAAATAAACTTCAGACAAGGAGTAGAAGAAAGTCTCTATTCAGTTCATGCTGGGGAAGAAGGACTCGGAGAGAACAGTGGAAAAACAAGTGCAAAAAACAGGTGGCAGGTCAGAGCAGTGAGTGAGCTTCCAAGGGGAGAAATACAGTGCCAAGTGCTGAAATATCTCCTAGACCTTGTACAACGAGGTTCTGAGGTGCATGTGATTGGAGCCTCATCCTACAAATGGGGAAGCAGTTTTAGAAAAGGACTGGCAGTTAGCATAATGGCTATGTTGCTAGGCTCCCATGTAGTCGACCATGGTTCGAGTCCTGGACCCGGCAGCTTAAACTCACGCCGGGTGCATGTGCATGTGTGCCCAAGATCCCAAGAGGAGAATGGAGGAGAAGGGATTGCGACGTGGCCATCCCCTCTGGGGGCTGAGTTCTCGCTTTCTCTCTGTCTCTCTCTCTCTCTGTCTTTCTGGAGACGCACGCACCCTATAGCAAAAACCTCTCCAAAAAAAAAAAAGTTGGCCAAAGAGTTAGTGATATTGTCAGAAATTTTGCTCCAACCAAAACAGCAAAAGGTACGCAAGTCAAGCAGCTTTCTGAGCCCTGCAGTGGACCACTGGACCTTCCTGAACACAGAAATAAAAGCCCTGAAGTGTAAATCATACAGGTGCCCTGTCTGACATGAAAAAAGTATGTATCAAAAAGGAATCAAATGCAAACTCTCCAGCAGAGGTCACATCAAGCAAGTAATGACACAATAGGACAGAATAAGACTGGAGCCTGCAGGTGGCATAGCGGTGGTGGCATTGGACTCCCGCATGGCCAATCACAGTTCAAGTCGCAGACCCAGAGGCTTGAAAATCATGCTGGGCTTGTATGCCCAAAATCCCAGGAGTCCCAGGAGGAGGATGGAGGAAAAGGGATTGTGGCATGGCCATCCCCTGGGGCAGGGTGGGAGGGTGGCATTTCTCACTTGCCCTCTCACTGTCTCTCTCCAGCAAATGCACATGGCAAAAGTCTTTTTAAAAAAATGACATAACCAGGAAAAATGACAAGTGTAGACAAGAGGAAAATCTGTATATGAAGTAACAGGGAGGGATTAACAATGTACAAAGTAATATGTACCTATCCACTGTAACTACAAAAGTTCAGGCAAATAAGGACAGAAAGACTCATAACAAGGTGTGAAGAGTTGATACCTTAAGGTCACAGGATTTTTTTCTTTTAGAAAATAGTGTATCATCCCAGACCAACAGCCAACCAGCCTCCACACCTATTGGGTACCTTAGCAAGGCAAATTCTTAGTCTCCACCCCAGACCGACTAAATCAGAAACTTTGGGGAGAGCCCAGCATTCTGCATTGTAACAAGCCTTCCAGGTATTTCTGCCACAAGCTGAGTTTGAGAATCACTGCCATAAGAAAATTTTTTAAGGCCCTGCTACAGGGGCAGAAGCGGTAAGGCCACCCCTGGGAGACAGGGGCCACATAGGGGCCAGGCTCCACAACCTACCAACCTAAAACTCGCTGGACTAGTGGTGCCAGCCTGCAATCTGGCATACCAAGAGGCTAAAGCAGAATTGCAACATGGCAAAACCCTATCAAAAATGCCTTCCTCTCTCTTCCTTTAACTCTCTCATTTAAAAAAGAAAAAAAAAAAAAAAAGCAACAAAGTTCTTGAAAAATATGTGAAGGTATATTTCAAGTTCAATTCTCTTCAACTATGCAAACAATTCTCAGGCACCCACTAAGTGCCAAGAACCAGGAGGCTATCAATAAGTAGTTATTAAATGACTCCCTGGTTAGTTGAAAATAAATGCCACTTAAGCCTGGGGAAAGAACTGTACTACTGATGGGTGTCTTCCAAGGACTGCTCTCCGCCGAAAGGCGGTTGTCAACATTCATGGTGCGATCCAGAAGCGCAAAGTGCGAGAGACAACAGAGGCACGTAGCAAACCCCGGTGGAGGTCATGGAATCCCCGCCGCCCGCCCGGCGTTCTGGACTACACTCCAGCCCCACCTGCCTCCGCCTCCGAACTCACAAGGCCACCTGGGGGTGAGGACGTGCAGGTGAGTCACCTACGGCCCTCCTCCAGCTCCGCCTACTTGGGATGGGGGGCACCCAAGCCTGTGCCACCCAACCGGACAGTTCATTCTAACGCCCACTGGTGAGCCAAGCTGGAGCCTCACTGCAGAGGGGCGGGACACTGCGAGTCACCCGAGCCACGTGGCCGCGCGCCGGTCCAGGTGACAAGGTCAAGGGACCCGGGTTCCCTCGCGGCTGCCCCGGCGGCCGCAAAGCTGGAGCAGAGGTCCACGCCCGGCGTGTCCACACTGGCTCCTGCGAGCTCCACGCGCCGCTTGGTCTGACTGCCGGGCCTCCTCTGGCTCTGCCTGGCCTCCACTGGCTGCCCCTACTCACCCCGAGGAAGCTGAGGCGGGCGCCCGCTTCCCACCACAACTGGGCCGGGTAGAATTCGCTGGGAACCCTTCTCACCGCCACCTCCGGATTGCGTTTAGCGAAGCCGAGGCGCCGCGCGGCCTGCCGGGACTTGTAGTTCTTGGTGCCTCCAGTCGGGAACACCGGGCCTAAGGACCACAGCGGCGCAGCTCGACCGCTACACTGGGGAGGCAGCCGGGTCTGGGCCGTTTTGTGCGTCAGAGGACCTGGTTTCTTTGCCTGTGCTGCTCATGTGGGATCTTACTGAAAACTACTTTTGAAGACTCATTCCAAACAGATCACAGATTCTTGTTTAGTGGAAGATAGTGTTGTGGATGTGTAGATTTTAAATATTTTAACAAACGGAAAATTTACTTAAGTTGCTGAACAGTAATAATATGCTGGTTAATCTTAGTTTTAACTGTCTTTGACCCTCATTTGTTGGCCTCTGGGTATCAGATGTAGACTTAGTTGTCTCGGAGACTTATCAGGCATTCATTTATTCTATAAACACCTTTTGAGCTATTTTGTGAGAGATCAGAAATAGTGAAAGGGTTATCTATTGATTTAATAAAATTCCGATCAAATTTCCAACAGGATTCTTTTTTCTGGACTTTTACAAAATAATCCAAAATTTATATGGAAAAACAAAGGGCAAAGCATAACCAAAACACAGAAAAGCATAGTTCAAGGATTGCCCATCAATAATACCAGCATGGACTATAAAACTATAAAAATGAAGAGCCCTGTGATGTTGTTATATGGATAAATAAAGGGGGGAAAATGAATCAACTAGCAAGCCCAGATACAGATCCAGGCATCTGTGAAATCTTGATTTAGGATAAGGCTGCCATTGTAGATCAATGAGGGAAAGATAAACTCAGTTCATGAGCTGGAACAACCAGCTGACTGTTGGAAACTCACCCTATATGCAGAAGTTTCAGAGGACACACTGTGACACAGCAGTATTGAGCTGCACATGTGAAGCTGGCTCCCACATGGTGACCACTGTTTGATCCCTATCCTGGTTAGCCTTAAGCACTCAGTACCCATTGCCAGTGCCCAAGATCCAGTTGGCATGAGGCGAAGGGGACCATGGCGTGACATGACCCTGTGGAGGATGCTCATCTCCCTTTCATTCGCATTCGTGCTTATGCATTCTACCACAAATAAAGAAAAAAGATGTCTAATTTCAGATAAAGACTTCAAAAAGGAAATTCAGGTGAAAATTTTTCAATTAAAACTTTCAAAAGAAAATATCCTCATGATCTCAGGGCAGTGTTTATTAACTGCCTAGCACAAACTGTAAAGAAAACCTGGATATACTTGGACTATACTAAGTTTAAGAACTTCTCTTCATCTGAAGGCATTAGGAAGAGAAAAGCCGCAACTGGGAGAAGACCATTGCAGCACAGAAATGTCAGTGGTATAGAGCTGAATAATACAGCACCACTGAAGCAGGCCAGCTTGAGGTTTGGCAGAACTGTAGCCATTTTCAAATCAAGCAAGGCCTCCAACAAGAACAATCCAACCAAGTGCTGAGTCATGGGGAGATCTGTTTCAAGAATGGTCAGATGAGAAACCAAGAATGGGTATTTGAAGTAAAACAGCAATCAGGATAATTACTCAGGGGGAAGTAATTGACTCTAATTGTATTGAGGAATGATTTGCACATGCTTATATCTAGTATTCATAAATACTGAGAAAACGTCGAGCTTTTCAAGACAGTTTGATGGTACTTGCTGACTGGTAACTGGTTACCAGTTACAGTCTCCCTGAAATAAACTTTCTTCTCCAGCCTCTGCCTCTCATTTCATTGACCATGAGAAGCAGCAGTCAGACTTGGCAGGCCAGTAACACTACCATCTCAGGATTGCAATTTATAAGCATTAAGATAAGAAAATAACACTGGAGAAGTGTTAGAATTGCAGTATAAATAAAATGAGAAAGAACACCAAAAAAGGGAGCACCAATTTTGCCCAGGAGACTTTGAAATGTTCTATAAACTAAGAATTGCGAGCCAGCAAGTGGCATAGTGGTTGGGACACTGGGCTCTCTCGTGGTCAACCACAGTTGAGTCCCGAACCTGGTGACTTGAGACTCATGCCAGGCACATGTGCATGCATGCCCAAAGTTCTGAGAGGAGAATGAAGGAGAGAGGATTGTGGTGAGGCCATCCTCTCTGGGGGATGACTTTCACTTTCTCTCTCTCTCTCTTTCTCTCTGTCCCTCCGTCAAGCACATGTGCCCTATAGCAAAGATCTCTCCAAAAAACTCCCAAGGATTGACATACAGGCTGGGAATTAAAGGTTGGAAGGGGCTACCTAGGGGGAGAGTTTTGGGGAACAGTCCAGGAACCAGAGAAGTTATGTAAAAAAGATGCAGTACAGGGCCAGCTCTATAGCTTAGTGGCTAAGGAAGATGAATTTCATGGCCAATCATGGTTTAGATCCCAGCTCCAGAAGCTTGAAAAATGCTGGGCTCATGTGCACGCTGCCCCAAATCCCAATAGAGCAGAGAAGGGGAGGAGAAGGGATTGCAACATGATCATGCCCCACTGGGGGGTGCTTTCTTCCTCTCCTTTCCTTTTGTCTCTCTGGTGAGTGCATGTGCTCTCTGACAATTAAAAAAAAAATGCAGTAGAATACAATGAAAGACATAAAGACCTTTAAATTAAAGTTTGAAAATTAAAACCACAGACATGAGAGACTAAATATATTAAAAACTTAATATGGTTATGTAATTGAACATTAAGTTTAACCATGAAATAGTTACTAGCAGGCTAGCAGTAAACCCTGAGGAATGGGAATAGGGAGGGGGCAGTGCAAGTACTTTGAGTTTACGTTCTGTGCCCTTTTGTAACATGAATTTGTAAAGTTTTATATTAAAAATTAATTATTTAGGGCCAGCCCATGGCGTAATGGTTAACAAACTGGATCCCATATAGCAAACTTAGCCATTCAAGTCCTGGACCCAGTGGCTTGAAAAACACGCTGGGCATGTGTGTGTGTGTGTGCCCAAAATCCCAAAAGGAGGGAGAAACGGAGGAGAAGGGTTTGTGGTATGACCATTCCCTATGGGAGGTGCTTTCTCAGTCTCTTCCTCTTTCTGGCGAGCACATGCACTCTCTAACAAAATCATGAATGAATAAGGGAGCAGATCCTTGGTAATGCAGTGCTCAAGAAGAGCCGAATCCCACATGGAATCTGCAGTTCAAGTCTCTGGCCTACTCATCCTGAAACACGGCTGGCAAGTGCTGGGATCTGAGAGGCAGGTGGACCAGAGCATGATCAGAACCTGTGAAGGAGTCTCTTCTCTCTCTCTCTCTCTCTCTCTCACGTGCATGTGCTTTGTGATGAATAAAGAAAAAAAATTATTATAATGAAATAAATGTGAGAAACTCCAAACAGATACACAAAAATGAGACTCTTTTTTTTTGGAGAGGTTTTTGCCATAGGGCGTGTGCGCCCAGGGAATGGTCACACCACATTCCCTTCTCTTCCATTCTCCTCTCGGGATCTTGGGCACACACGCGCATGCGCCCGGTGTGAGTTTAAGCTGCCAGGTCTGGAACTTGAACCGTGGTCAACTACATGGGAGTCCAGCGACATACGCCATTACGCTAACTGCTGGTCCCAAGACCCTTTTTTTTTTTTTTAAGAGAGATTTTTGTTACAGGGCACATGTGCTTGCCAGAGAGACAGAGAGAAACAAAGAGACAAAAAGCGAGATATCACCCCCCCCAGGGGGGATTACCATGCCGCAATCCCTTCTCTTCCACTTTCCCCTCGGGATTTTGGGCCTGCATGCACACGCGCCTGGTGTGAGTTTCAAGCCACCAGGTCTGGGACACAGGCTGCAGTTGACTACGTGGGTCCAGCAATGCAACCATTATACCATCTGCTGGTGCCAAAATGAGACACTTTTAAAACAAACCAACACCCCAGCCCTAGTGATTATGATTGTAGAGTCTAGGAGGGGTCAGGCCTCAGCAAGTGTTAAAAGCCCCTGAGGTGATTTTAATGGGCAGCTTGGTGGAACAGTTTTGTCAAGAAGGCACCAGGGAGCAGGCAGACTGAGAGTGGTTCTTGGCCACATTAGAATCACCTGGAGAGCTTTAACACTCCTGCTGGGCCATGCCCAGGACCTCTTACATCCCATTTCTGGGGGTAGGACCCAGTCATAGGGATTTTGTAGCACTCTCCAAGGGATTCCAATGTTTAGCCAGGGTTAAAAGCTGCTGATTTCGAGTCAAAGGATCTGCTTTGAGCTGTGGTAAGTACAGCAAATTTTCTAATTTGACAGAACTTTTGTTTCCTTTTTGATAAAATGGAGTTAATACTATTATGGGTCTGACCTACCTCAAAGGTTCTTGTGACTCAAGAGAGAGATTCTGAGTGCTTTGGAAGCCAGATATTGCTGTTCAGAGGTGTCTCAGCACATTAAGGAGAAAGTCTATACTCTTTACCTGCTCCACTCCTCTGCAGCCTCATTTCCCACCTTTCTTCCCCCTTCCCCCCACTACCCCTAGGCATCTTTCCACTCCAACCACACCAGATTTCTTCCTACTCAACCTGATAGGCTGACTGCTGCCTGGAGACCCTTGAACTTGATGTTCCCTCTTGTCTACAAAGGTCTACACCATCCTAGCTAATGTCACCTCTCCAAAAAGGTCATCCCTGATTACCCCTAGCTACCCTCAGGTCCCCTGAGACATGCGCTATCTATCCCCTTAAACTGTTTTTCTTTAATCGTTTTCTAAACTTTTTTTTTTAATGGCCAGAGGGTCTGTGAAGGAGTGAGGGTAGGAAGAGAGATAAAGTATCCCCTCATGGGCTATGGTCATGATGCAATCCTTCTTCCTCCATTTCTCCATCATGTCATCCTTGGGGCATGAATGCGCATGTGCCCAGCATGTTTTTCAAGCCACCAAGGCCAAGATTTGAACTGAAATCAACCATATGAGGTCCAACTCCCTGTGCACAGTGCCTAACCACTGCACTACAAGGCCAGTCCAACACCGCTTTATTTATTATAGCCGCTATCAATGCTTGAAATTATATCATTTGTTTGTTACAGTGGTTTTGGTTTGTCTCCTCCA